CCACTCCCCCCCCCCCCACACCCACACACGGTAACAATATGCCAACAGAAACCCAGGAAAAGTACTACAGAGGCTCACTTGCGACATTATAAGAGGCCTGGTCACGGACCTGGCCGCGGGGGCGTTGACCCCCGAACCCCCTCCAAGTATATCTTGATGAAGTCATTGCTGGCCTGGAACACCACTGAACAAGACAGTAACTGCCACAATGTACTTAGTGTCCAGCATGTTTGTCCAGTTGTCACAGTACAGCCTGTCATAAAATACCCAGAACAATTCATAAGTTTTATATCAAAACTTACGAAACTTGTGCAAATTAGTACCTCATATAGCAGGCAAAACAACTGTGTAATTTAGATTATCCGAACATATGTTGTATGCTGAAAATTGTGTGCAGTGAGTGACAAATGGCTAAGGTTAGTGTTGCAATTGTAAGCTTGGACTACTTCAAACTATCTATCTTAAACAGTGGGCCAGGAGAGAGAGAGAGAGAGTGATTTAGCGTCGTTACATATTCATTACATCAACACTGATTTACACAATGGTGTTGAAAAAATGAGTATTTAAACATGTTATTGTTCTGATATGGATTTACACATGATGAAATTGATCAGTGATGTTCGCGTAGATTTCATATCTTAGCAGTGACTCGAGACAGCAGTCTTTTAGCTGGTGAACTCAGTATAAAATGCAACTATTTTTGTCGTATGGGTGTGTATATTGTAATATGAAAATGGTATGTGCGAGCGAGCGTGCGTGCGCGCGTGTGTGTGTGGGGGGGATGAGAGCTGGTTATAGAAGAAAGATGAATCACCACCACCACACCATTGAGGAAGGAGGCTCAGCTACTGAACCAGCTGGAGGTGAAGCTGCTTCTGAAAACAGTGCTGAAGCACTTGGTTGAGACTTACATGAACTGTAGCTGACTATTTGTTAAGCACTTTGTATCAGTATTTTCTGCGCTTCCATTTCTCATACCAGTAATAGATCATTGTAAATGATCCCCATTAGTGCTATATTACACTATTTATAGAAACTTGATCTGAGTATTTAAGTGGTATAATTTAAATGTTTCTATATATTTTCATTATTACTGTAATAATTGTATTACCTTAAATACTCCTGTATTATTTTCCCAGTACAATTCCCCCGTTACTAATTTCTATGATTAAGTGGAGTTCAAGTGAGAAGTAATTTATCAGATGGTAAAGTTAAAGCTCTTGCACCACCCAATATGTCTAAGTCCATCTCGAAGTATGAAAAACCAGTATGGAACTCTCACCTGATCATGTCAAGAAACCTGAAAGAATACAATTATTTGCATTTAATAAAGGGATTAAATCTGGCGACATGAGGACAGAAAGACCAGGCAAAACATGACAAACGTACAAAATACTGAGAGGAACTGATAGGGTAGAGAGGGGACAGGCTGTTAGATAGGCGAGAAAGAAACAGGAAAGCACAACTGGAAGTTAAAATACAGACGAGTCAGAAAGATGTTAGGAATCATTTCCGCCTGCGAGTGATCAGGAAGTGGAACGACCTTGACAGTGAAGTGGTAATATTTATATAAATATTTAAGAAGATATATAGATATTATAGAATCAGGAGTGTGTGAAATCAGTAGCGGCCAGCATGATACAGAGCCAGGAACTTAGACTCAACCTCTGCAACCACAAATAGCTGAACGTAATGGAATAACTTGGATGCAGAAGCGATGAAAGTTGACTTCACAGTTTTAAGAATGTACATAATAGGGTTGATGATACTAGATGTAAGTGAACTTGATCACGGTCAGTTAGAAAGATGAGGACAAGAGCCGAGAATCGCCTCCCTTAACAAAAGATGAGTTCATGTAGAGTTAAAAGTACCCATTACAAAGCATTACATAATACCCAATGAAAGTCACTGTCAAGTATACGACAATTCGACAAGTTGGGCACCACAAGAATTAGTAATAGGACCTGTACCGTTAATTATATACATAAATGACACGTCCGATGTAATTAATTCAAACAGTATATCACTGTTTGCAGACGATGTAAAGACGCTGGCATGTATAAGAACGTGAGTGGATAAGAACGGACTCATGAGAGGACCTGGACAAACTTCAGTAGTCATCATATATGTGAATTCAGGAGTCCATCACTAGCACACAGTAAAAGGCACTGAATAAAGCCTAGATGAAAATAAAACTTACAAACAGTGAGAAAGGTTAGAAGGTAAGCATTATATCAAGCATATCTACAAAATAATTTCGGCTTTAGGAACCTCACTGGAATCAATGAGGGCCCTATTCGTAAACATCACGACCATGATGCGAAAGTGCTCTCAAAAAATAGCTTCAAATACAAGTATGATAGAATATAAGAGGACAGGAATGTGTAAGAGTAATAAACACTGATAAAGAGACGAGGCCATTAGCAATGAATCGACTCTCGTAACTAGGTGAACACAGTAGAAAAACAAAGTTGTCGAGAAGGCGTTTGCTAGGCAGCGGATACTTTTGGGTGGAGAAGCGTGCAAGTACTTCCTGGCCCCCAGTATAAACCTGACTACCCACGAAGTGAAAGGTGCTAGTTTTGAGGCACTACAAGTCTGACAAGTTATGAGGGCGGCTGAAGAGCAGGAACCTCCTACCACAACAATTTTAAAACCAGTCATTGTCAAGATTAATATTACCAAAAAAGTAGTAAGATACACAGACTCCCGTTGTAGAACAGCTGAAAAAAGCTGCACTGTGAACCAACCTCACAACGCCAGAGTTATATAAACACTAATTCCTGAAGGATATCTGAAGGACGTTTCACTGGGGTTAACATCCCCGCGACCCGGTCCCAGACCAAGTCTCCTGGAGGATCAAGACCTGATCAAGTAGAGTGTTACTGCTGGCCGTACGCAGTACAAGGTACAAACCACAGCCGGCTGTGGTTCGTACGTTGTCCAATTCCCTCTTAAAGACAGCTGGTAATTACTCTAATTCACGGAGGGAGTCGGGGGTCTCTGATACTCAGTGAGTTTTCACTTAGCGCTTTTGTCACGCCCTTACATTTTAGTATAAGTATTTTGCATCGTCTGCCAAGACTCCTATTGTCATACGAAGTGATTTCAGTGTTCAGGTTTGGAACCAGTGCCTAAGGGAGTTTAACGGATTTAATTATTATTGTCGCCTACATACGAAGGAATATAGTTTAAGGGACCTCGCAGCATTTCCAGTAGTTCAGATGTTTGAGTGCACAAGAGCAGTGAAAGTTCGCTGTGTATTCCAACTTGGTAATTTCGTTTGTCTTGAAGGGAGCCGTCAGTGTACTGCATTATTCTCAGCACCTCTTGCCTTGATAATTCTGGTTATGCAGTCTATTTTCCTTGTGGTAGCAATAGCAACATTGTTCTGATTCTTGAATGTGAGATCTTTCATCATTACTTCAAGTCTTGAACATGAACATTCACTCTAGTGAATAATTTGAGTTCGTCCTGTACTCCGTTACGGTCTTTATTTTTCCATTCTTCCACAGCAGAACAACTTAAATTTGTCCTGGTTAAACATCAAATTGTCTGAAAGTAACTAAAAGAGTTGGTTTTATATCCGCCTGAAGATTTGCCATCTTCGACGGACGCCATTTTCACAGAAATTCTGGTGTCATCAGCAAAGGATGTTGCAGCGCTATGATTTATGTTTTTGTTCATGTTGGATAAGAAACAGAAGAACAGAGCTTTTCACTGTGGCAGCCTTCGTCTTCACTCTGTTTTATACTTCTATGGGTTATATTGTTAAGAAGCTAAATGTCCATCTGTCTACTTTTCCAGTTATTCCTTTAGCACATTCTTTTTTTGCGCAACCACAAGATAGTGGCACTTGAACGATTTTGCAAAATCAGGGTACGCTACATGAGCAATTAGTTTGTCTTCCAGAGCCTCCAGGACGCATCGTGATGATCTAGCAGCTGTGCCCCTAAGCCCAAGTTGCCCTGGATTGTGCAACTGCTGTGATGACAATATTTCTGTTTAGGACCCCTTCAAAGATTTTGACGTGTGAAGTTATGGCTATTGGTCCATAGATGTTCTCAACTACTTTACTTCCTCCTCTGTGAAGTGGTAGAAATATTTGTGGTTTTCCATGACTGTGGGATGATACCAGTGTCCAGGCTTCTCCATAAAATATTGGTTTCTTAAAATTTTTGGTGAATATGAAATTTCTACAAGTCTGGGACAGTTCCTCCAGGGACTCTCATTACAATTACACTCCTTGCAACAGTCTTCAAATAAAGATGTCTCAAACAGAAGTCTTCAAGCAGCAGGATATTTGTAGTCGAGTTTGACAGGTTATCAAGACAATGTTTCAGGTTATCAAGACAACGCTTCATCTCCAATACCTGGCATCTGAACTGCCGGCAGGTTACATCCGGGGGTTTGTACACAAGCACAACTGTCAGCATATGTCAAATACCTGGCACAGAAGACATTGCGATCATTAAGGCAGTCCTCCCAGGCTGAGGCTCACCACTGCACTAGTGCTGACTCCCGCGATTAACCCAAAAGTGGTTAGAGTATAATTTTTGTTAAGGGGACCTGGAGTTTACCTGGAGACGGTTTCGGGGATCAATACCCTCGCGACTCGGTCCGAGACCAGGCATCATGGTGGATCAGGGTCTGATCAACCAGGCTGTTGCTGCTGGACGCACGCAAGCTGACGTACGAACCACAGCCCGGTTGGTCGGGTCACTGACTTTAGGTGCCTGTTCCAGTGCCTTCTTAAAGACAGCCAGGGGTCTATTGGTAATCCCCCTTATGTATGCTGGGAGGCAGTTGAACAGTCTTGGGCCTCGGACACTTATTGTGTTGTCTCTCAATGTACTCGTGGCGCCCCTGCTTTTCGTCGGGGGAATGTTGCATTTCCTGCCGAGTCTTTTGCTTTCACAGGGAGTGATTTTCGCGTGCAGGTTTGGTATCACTCCGTCCAGGACCTTCCAAGTATATATTATCATGTATCTCTCTCACCTGCGTTCCATGGAATACAGATGAAAGCGAGAAAAAAAATAAACACTTGATTAATTACTGTTGGGTTAATCACAGGAGTCAGCACTACCCTAGTGCAATGGTGAGCCTCAGCCTGGGAGAATTGCCTTAGTGATAGCAGTGTCTTCTGTGCCAGGTAAGTATTTGAAATATTGAAATATGTTGACACTACAGATAGGTTCTGACTTTCCGCTCTGAGTACCAAAACTTCGACTACATCATCAGTAATGTTCAGTAGCTCAATGTATACGGGCAACTCTTAACAGGTCGTATCTAAATAGCTTGTACCATGGAATATACATATTGCATTATCAAAACAGTCTTTTATGCAAGTCTCTGTGAAAGCTGCAAACATTGCATCTGACTCCGTGAAAAGACCACTCATATACATCCCACTGTCACATCAGTATCAGTAACATCCCACTGTCACATCAGTATCAGTAACATCCCACTGTGTCAGTAACATCAAACTGTGTCAGTAACATCCCACTGTGTCAGTAACACATCCCACTGTCAGTAACACATCCCACTGTCAGTAACATCCCACTGCGCCAATAACATCCCACTGCGCCAGTAACATCCCACTGCGCCAGTAACATCCCACTGCGTCAGTAACACCCCACTGCGTCAGCAACATACCACTGCGCCAGTAACATCCCACTGCGTCAGTAACATCCTACTGCGTCAGTAACATCCTACTGCGTCAGTAACATACCACTGCGTCAGTAACATACTACTGCGTCAGTAACATCCTACTGCGTCAGTAATATCCCACTGCGTCAGTAACCTGCCAAATTTTCAGCGAACATTCAGATACAAGAGGTGAAAGGAGAGCTTCTGGCTGGTAATACTGGTGAGAGAAACATGTTCAATAATACATTAGTGATAAGAGACACTGGTTACCAGTTCCGGACAAGAGCCAGATTTACCAGGAACCCCCTGGCCAGCCTGGCCAGGCTGCTGTTGCCCGCAGGCCAGCCAGCCAGCCTACCTGATCACCATCAACCTGGAGTTATTACCTTTCTTTATGACTACGTCAACCTTCCATCCCGAATATGTCTTAGTGTGATGTACTGGTAATAGAATGAAGAATGAACTCCTCTTGGTGAGTGTTCTGTGTTGATGGTGCACCATCCATGGTGACAGTGGTCTGTGTTGATGGTGCACCATCCATGGTGACAGTGGTCTGTGTTGATGGTGCACCATCCATGGTGACAGTGTTCTGTGTTGATGGTGCACCATCCATGGTGACAGTGGTCTGTGTTGATGGTGCACCATCCATGGTGACAGTGTTCTGTGTTGATGGTGCACCATCCATGGTGGTACAGTGATCAGTGTTAATAAACCCTTCCCCGTGGCGGGATTGAACCCGCGTACAGGGTCAATTGCCGTGCGTGCAGACCAAGTGCACAATAGATTCTCATAGGTTGATGTGCCACCATAGGAAAGTTACAAGTCGAATCAGTGTTAATGACTCGCCTTCAGTAATAATAGAAAGACGGGTTTGTGCTGGGAAGCGTATACTGGAAGATTGCCCAGGACCGCGCGTTATGATGTATGTATACTAAAACACTCAGATACACTGGATGGAGGAGTGTTGATGAGTGTTGTAGTGTGTTGTTGATGAGTGTTGTAGTGTGTTGATGAGTATTGTAGTGTGTTGATGAGTGGTGTGGTGTGGCTGAAGGTGTGGCGTTGGTGAGGTGGTGAGGTTAAGTGTGGCGTTGGTGGAGGCATAGAGTGCTGGGATCAGTGGTGGTGAAGCGTTGGAATCAGTGGTGGTGAAGTGTTGAGATCAGTGGTGGTGGAGTGCTGGGATCAATGGTGGGGTGCTGGGATCAATGGTGGTGGGGTGCTGGGACAAATGGGGGAAGAGTGCTGGGATGAATAGTGGAGTGCTAGGATCAGTGGTGAAGTGCTGGGATCAGTGGTATGCTGGGATCAGTAGTGGTGGTGTATGACACTAGTTCATGCACCACCAACCAAGGTTGTGGCGCAAGACAGTTCGCGGACCGTGGCATCAGTGAAGATATGAAGGTGTGATTGCAGGCGTGAAGGGTGATGATTAACCTGATGAATACCGCGAATGATGAGTGTAGAAGCGTGACGACCTCTCTGATAGATGTTGCTGGTTTTTGTTGAGGAAGCTGAGTGAATATAGTGGTGGGGACGCTCACGTCATCAGGCTGTAGACAAGTCAACAGATAGTTGTAGACACGTCAACAGATAGTTGTAGACACGTCAACAGGTAGTTGTAGACACGTCAACAAGTACAGTAGTTTGAGGTGCGGGAATAAACACCCTGAGTCACAGTGAACAAGATGGATGGCTAATGGTCACATTTCACCTATCTTGGTGTGTCACTACAATGACAGACGAGAATGGAACAATATTTATGCGTGCGATAATAGGAAGGGTCGAGTGAGAGGCCAAGAGAGAGAGGAGTACAAGAGGCTTTTGGTAAGGTGGCAGTTTTTTTGTCATGGAAAAAGGTTTCCTTTTGCAGGCATCCATCACATGACTTGTTCAGTGGCTATGCAATGTTGTGCAACGTTGCACCTGAAGGGAAGGGGGGAGGATAAATCTGAAAAGTTTATTACTACTTGTAACTTGGGGAGGGGGGACAACCTTGCAAACCTTACAGGATATGGCAAAACACCTCATTAATGATAAGATATCTGAAGTCTCGAGATTGTATCCACATTATGCATCGACTAGATGAATGAATGGTTTTTTTTTACAGAGGAAACTGCAATCCAATTAAGACCAACTGTTTTTTCATGGTAAGATATTTCTCTTGAGATTGAATTCCATGCTGAAATATGTACATTAACTATAAAGTAATTTAAAAAAGCAAATGACTAATAATTCTTTCTAGTGATGTAATTAATGCTCAGTGGGGTCTGACCAAGACCTATTGTGACCTGTAATCAGGTTTTTTTATTACGATACCGTTCACAAGCTGAACATGGAATACACAATAAGTTATCCGCTCAGGAGACGAGACAGCCATCAAGCTAGCTTGAGGTGGATGGAATTGTGAGATTTATTTCAGAATTAGGAGCTGAAGCACCAAGGTGGAGGTTCTCATTATACCTGCAGTGAAAATTTATTCTAATTGTACCTTTCCTTGCTATATTTTTTTTTATTCTCATTCCCTATATTCATATAATATCATTATAACTCCCATACAAGGTTATATTACTCCCTCCTCAATCTAAGCTAAGTGGTACTCTTCCAGTAATTAATTTCCTATACTTACATTATTAGTACCAATACAATGAAACAATTGGATATATGCAGAGAATCCCAGTCACATTATTTCTCTGCATATATCCACCTTTGCTCTTACTGATACTGCTAAAGGTGAATATAAAAGAGGGCAATGAAATATACAAGGTTCGTCCGAATGGGCCTCGTCTTTGGGTAAAGAAACAGTGCCAGTGGTCTGCTGGCTGCCTAAAGTGGCAAGGTGGCGTGATGAACCATGGCATCAAGTAATCTTCCTGCTCTCGTGGGAAGCTGCGGCCCTGGGTTAAAATCCCCCATCACACCGCAGTCTTGATTTGTATTAGTGTAATAAACAATTACATTCCCGAGCGCGCGTGCGTGCGTGTGTGTGTGTGTGTGTGTGTGTGTGTGTGTGTGTGTGTGTGTGTGTGTGTGTTAAAACAAAGAAAAGCCCATTTATTAAAAATACAAAAAAAAAAATTTGATTAGATAGAAAAATATTTGTAATGTTAAAGAGAACCATTTGTTTTGCAACTAAACAATATAAAAATGTTAAATCTCTCAAGCGTTTATCTAAATAGAGATGGGTCCATACCAAAGTTCCTGTATTCGACTGAAGAAGCCCGCGTGTGGGGCTGAAGGTTTCGAGAATAAGAGATACAAAGATGCCATTGTGCGACTTATATAATCAAATTTATAGTAGAAAGAGAGATGAGAGAGAGAGATTGAAGAAGAGATAAGAGAGAGAGAGAGAGAGAGTAGAGAGAGAGAGGAGGAGAGAGAGAGAGAGAGAGAGAGAGAGAGAGGAGAGAGAGAGACGTAGAGAGAGAGAGAGAGAGGAGAGAGAGTAGAAGAGAGAGAGAGAGAGAGAGAGAGAGGGAGGAGAGAGAGGAGAGCAGTAGAGATGAGACTGAGACTGAAGCTGGGGGGGCACTGTTACGTGGTAACCAGGTGACCCAGCAATAAGAGACACTATGGCTTTGCCCTCACCCTCCCACCTGGCAGTGTTGGTGTGAAACGAGTAGCCAGAAGCCCTGACATTACTGGTGACGTAGCAACCATCTAACAATATTGTGAAGGAGGTCAGTTACTGGCGACGCCTTGTGTAAACCACTTTGGGATATCACACTGTCACGCCCCTACCTCACCCCACCTAGTTACCTACCACCAACCACACACCACAGTATAGTCTACCCACACCATTAAGTTATGAACACTCTGGAGTCACCTACCTTTTACCAATCATTGAAGTGTCTAATCAGTAACATACATGCAGGCACAATCTCTTATTATTCACTGTGCCGATAATAACCATAATTATCAGTGAAGCAACTAAAATATTGAGAACAGAGTGTTTTATTAAGTACATGGAGGTTTCGCTAAGCCTGCGGTATAGCTCTAAGAGTGTGAATGTTGCAACTCCCTCCACCCTTCACAGTCTTGCAAACTATCATCTACCTTTACTGTCTAGCCCCTTCACATGCTAAGACTGGACGCTAGCACTATCCTGTGCGTCATCATGACACCTGCTAAATGGTATCACTGTTACAAAGGCAACCTTCACGACAGTTACATCTTAAGTGTTCGTTCCAGTAGTGGCTAACGCTACCTGCCGTTAGTGACAATATACATATTCAGCCTCAAGGGCTTTATCACACTGGTCAGCGTCATTCCTCACAAAGATTCGTCCATTTGTCAATTTCTTTTAGGCTGAACATTTACCACAACTTATTTACTATATTCGATTTCAGCTTCAAGGGCAAACTTGCACAGTTGGTGGCACATGGTCAAAACTGGCGGGTCGTGGAGAGTATATGTATGAGTAGTTTTAGCACACGCACAGGCTACTGGTAACTCACGGTAATACAATGATATTGTCTTGGGTGAGCACACACGTGACACAGCAGCTACAG